ACCACACTAATTTGTTTGTTTATAATACTTGATCTTTGACACTGCACATAAAGTCATTTCGCTTATGAAACTCTAAGAAAAATTAATGAAACTTGTTGAATGCTTAAATTTAAGAACTCAATTATCAGTGCTAAGTTCAGAGTGAAATATCAAACTTTTAAAATATATCCCGGAAAATCGCAGGCAGCAATTTCCCCGTTGTTTTCCGTTTCCTGGGTCTGTTGCTGATCACAAGGTTGAATAAGAAATGTAAAAAGTTGTCTCAACACCTGGATTTTGAAGCAGAATCCAACTACGAAAACTAACCAAAAATCAATTTGAGAATAATTCAAGAGCATAACTAAAAATAAGGTGTGTTTTTAGTAATTGAGGTTGAAGGTTAAATAAAATGGGAGTGTGAGTCGAATAAATAAACCTCCATTAACATGTAAGAAAATTCCGTTTTGTAACTTTGAAAGTTTTGGTGTTAGAAATTGTGTTGTTGATTGCAGAATTTTAAAGAAACATATAAAAGTACAACATAACCACATTGGTTACACTTATACATATACTGTACCATACAAACAATAGTGAAATCACAAACACACTTAACAAGTATTTCCAAACACTAAAAGAACACATTCTTTTGGTAACTCAACTCAAGAGAAAGAAAAGAACTTGAGAATGTCAATGTAATTATAGAGGGTGGTCTATAGTTTATAGATATTTTCTTTAAAATTTTAAAAGAATCAGGTACATTTTATTAAAAAGAATTGAACTTTCTCACTTATGGAAAACACCCCCTATAATTTTTAAGCCATTATTACATTCTCAAATAATGCTTCTCTATACCAACCAAATAAAATCTACTGTCTGGATTTGACTATTAACAATCCTTATTCCATTTTAAATTTCAAACTTATGGATCAGGCTAAACTTCCCATCTAGTAATGCCCACACAACATAACTTAAAGAAACCATGATTAGAATTTAACTAATATAGTAATATCAAAATCAATGTAATATACAAAAACACTAAAATACATGCAAATGTTAAAAAATTTAAAAGGGGAATATGTTATTTTAAAAAAATGGGAGAAAAACGAATGTTAGTAATATCAGGGTAAAACTACTTTCTAGACACTTATATGATGATGAAATATGAAACTATAAAAAAAAAAACTATAAAAATGAAATGTTTCACACAAAAAACTAACAAACCTATGTTAGTAAGGATTGACAAGGATTGATATCAAAAGCAATGGATGCATCGCTTAACCAACTTCAGTATACTACAACCTACATCTTAAAGGCTTAGTTGACAAGGTCTGAACTATCAGTAATGTTAAATGGCTGGGGAAGGCATTACAGATATAAGTTAACCCCCTACTACCTCAAATGCACCAAAACACTACCAAAATAATTTTCACTATGAAAGTTAACATTTTTGGCCCTGTTAACCCCAAATTTTTAAAATTGTATTTCCTAATTTTTACCAAATAAATAATTCAATTCAATTGAAAATATTATTGAATTAAGTATTAATATTTAAATTGTTATAATTTATGCATAATTTATGTTACTTAATAATTTGGTATTAATATAAGTATCATCCCTGAAAGTGATATGTTTACAGATATTAGATTTAATTGTTTTGTTTAATTATTCTTTATCAAATTATTATAATTCATTAGTTTTTTTAAGGTACATAGGGTAATGAGCAGATGACAAAAAGAAGCCATCTACAAACTAATTATATATTATGTAACAAAAAAATCTAATAAAATGCTTCTACAACTGAAAATTTGTAAATAAAAAACTTTCTGCTTTTTACAAAAACTATAAAAAGATGCAATCAATTCAGAACAAACTATGTATCTAAGAAAATAATCTAAAATAATAGAATTACTTTAAGTTTGTTTACTACATAAAAGTACTAAAAACAAATGAAAAAATTAATTTGACTAGACTAGTAACATTTCAAAAGCGTGCATTCTTCAGTTAACACTTCAGGCACAGACGAAGAATTCTTTAACCACTTTGTCTCATGCCCATACTCAAGAAAACTCACGTGTAATTGGACCACCACAATCGACTGTTCTCGTCATGAGACAAGCCTCGGGTCTATTACAATCTTCCTCAGTCTTTGTTTGGGGACCCCGCGAGCCTTTCACTTCCGTCCCTTTCGCATCAAAGCACCAGCAGTCATTTGGGTTGTAACACTGCAGCGCCTTAAAATCTCCGTTGTCACAGCAACGTGGACGAAATGTGGCGTTTTTGGGGAGGGAGTGAAGCCAATTGTAACATACACAAGCTGTTTGAGAAGGGTGTCAACAAGAAAAAAGAAAAAAAATACCACTGCCAGACATTTTATATAAATCCTGAGAAAACTGGAGTGATTTAGAAATGATGATAGCGAGTTAAAAGCAAGGAACTGGATGTGGCTATCAGTTGAGATCACACAGAAATTCTAGAGTTATGAAGAAGTGGCAAGATTATGTGAGAAGTAAAAAATGGTGACAGGGTGAGGTGCAAAAAGCTTTAACTCATGCCCAATGATCGAAAGAATGTGGTGCAAATAAACAATTGAGAAAATGCAAAAAGTTTATATTACTTAAAATTTAGATGGTGTGCTCAACCCCAAAGATTAAGTGAAATCTAAGCTTATCCTTAAAAAAAACAACCCTGACAATGACACTTAAACTAAAAGAAGCCGTTAAGAAGTCCTAATTATGCCTCCGAGTTGGTAGCTGATGTGGGTAAGGTTTTGGGGTTGTGGTGTCAAATCCCTTGCTGTGCATCGCTATTGTCCATTGGCAAGAATCATAGTACAAATGAGTAGCGACATTGTGGTACCTAATGCATTGGTTTTTGTGCCATTTAGTGTAGCGCAACTACAGTAGGTCACTTGCCAGTAAGTAGAGGTCGCATGTTGATAAAAACTTATGGATCCATTGGGATAACGTTGATTCTTTCTTCAAATTGTGGAAGTTGCAATATATATAAATACTAAGATTATTCACTAGGTGTTTTAAAAGAAAAAGCTGTTTGAGCGTACATTATACTTTGTACCAATATCAATCTCAAAGAGAAAACTTAAAATAATCCTATACCAGGTACTTATTTTTTTAAATCATACAACAAAAATATTCACAAATTTACTAAAAACTGGCAATAAACTTACATAAAAACACAAATTCAACAAAACAAATGTAATTTAAGAACAAATGGAAGTACATTTGTATGATTGGTTAAAAACATTCGAATAGGCAAAATTCAAGAACAAAATATCGTACAAACAATGAACCATACTACATTATACAGACTCTGGTAAAACATTTGTAAGGAGTAAAAAATAAACAGAAATTAACGAGACTTGGCACCATGCCAATCAGCCTTACATGTAACTGGTTCGTCACTCGATTCTTGGTACACAGAGATATTGACTGTTGCTACGCAACAAGAAAGAAGACAATATTTATGTAACTTTACTATATAACTTATATGATTTTTAGGGTTATTGGCTGCATGTCACAAACAATGGTGGGATTTCATTTCCGAATTTGAAGATCTCAAGCCAAAATGGATCAGGGGTTGAATTATAAAGATGGTTGCTAAAAGAAAAGGGAAAAGAGGGATCATTTTCAGAGCATCCAATGCATGGTAGTCTCTCTATTATAAAACACATTCCAAAAATTTAAATTTTAATTAAAATCACTTGATGATGACCAGTACGACGATGACGACGATCCATTCAGGACACTTAAAAACATGTGACCACAGATAAATTACCGACAACACAAATTATCATTCAAACACATTCAAAATCAGAACAACTCCAAACTAAGGAACTGATTAAAACACAGATAGTGACCATGAAAATACATATCCTATCCTACTACACATGACATAAGTTTCCAACATATTAAAAAAAAACAGATTACAAAACACATTGAGAAAGAGGTTTAGGTTGTTGACAATCACATACATTGATACAGTATGCAGATGACACAGAGATCAGTAACCAGAGAGACACAGGAAAAAATATGTTGATGATGCTGACATGTCATCTTATAAATCTAAAACAAGAATGGGGGATGGGGTAAAAGATGCAATTGAAACTGGGGTAAAAGGATACTTCAAAGTGCAACATGGATTGTAAGATATAGCAATGATTCTCAAAATCAAATTAAAATTAATTCAAAGTCTAGAAAATTAAAATTTGCTCATGATAAAATAATATGAACTATAAATCATCAATTATTAAAATTAAATAAATGTGCAGTTTATATAATTTATAAGTGCTAAAATATGTGAAATTAAGTAAAATGTAATGCTCTAACTTCAGGATTAGATTAACTCTTAAAGAGCTCTACTCTTTGATTATGTATATATATTCTGCAAACTGAAATCAAAAGATATTATAAGTGCAGTTGTAAATGACATTCCACTATATCCATGCATATGTAATGATGATTTTTTTTATGTGTTTGTATGCATGTTGACTATTTTAAGATGTGCCTTAAAAATCCATGTTTGAAATAACTAATCATAATTATCCATATTTTAATAATAATTAAAATTTAGTCTCTTAGTGCTTTATTTCTATTATCATTTTCTATTGTGTTGAAAAAATACTGTAGTTCAAAATTGTTAAGGTCTGTTTAATATAAAGATTACTTGCTTAAATTCAATCAAATCTGAATTAGTTAATTTTATCTGTATTTTATATTTCATTTGATGTATAATAATATGAGTTTCTACTTATATTACATGTTTATAATTGTATACATCTGTAATAATTCAGTTACGTGTTAAAGAGAGAACATACAAATATTATATCAATAAACATTCAATTCTTTTATAATAACTACTTGTAAAAACATCCATTAGACAACACAGAATTCCATCGCATTCGCATCATGCACGTGTGCCTAGTAAACGAGATGCACATTGTCACATGGCAAAGTGCTTTGGATGTCAATACCGATTTGTTGATAGTAAACAAATCAAAAATGCAAAACGTACATGCAAACATGGATCTAGAAATCTAATATTCACATGGAATCTGCATAACATGGAAAAATACAGAACAAAGTACATGCAAATTTGGTGCATGCATTACGAGGAAATATAGAGCATTCGAAAGTAGAAAATACACAACGTGGAGTATGGACAGCATGGAAAAAAATAACATACTATCGAACATGCCGACTTGGAAAATACATGATGTGCAAAATGTGTCAAATAACGCTGTTGATCATGCAAACATGGAAAATACATATTGAAGAGCATGCATAATGTAGAAAACATACAATTGAGCATGCAAACAAAATTTTGACCATACACATCAGTGGAAATATAAACAGCAGAGCATGCACATATAAGAAGTATGCTGTATAATGTGGAAAAATGCTCAACATTTAGAATTGAAAAATTTTAAACATTTATTCATATTTGAATTTAATAAATGGTTATTCAATAATTGTTAGTGAATAAAAAACAACCAAATATGAATCTATAATACAACAAAGGTTATTTACAATTTTAACAAAGACTTACTTATTATGGCATTAAGATTTGTATTACTTTAGGCATTATTAACAGGTATTAATAATTTATCAATTGAAAATTAATGTATATATACAGTACCTACAATCATTTGATTGAAGGAACTTGCAATGTAAGTTGAAAATCTAAAATTAACTGGCTGTCCAAATAGAAATATTCATCATTCAATTATTTGCATTGCTCAATTTGATTAATCCTTCACATTAATTTTTAGATTTCAGGATAATAACCTGTTTTTTTTCTATTACTATCATTAGTCTTTCGAAAACAGATCAATTTTTAAATGAAGCAAGCAAAACAGTGAATTAATTAATTGGAATATTGCATATGTGACTTTTTAGAAAAGTACTAGTTGATAACAAGCAGGCATGCCATGGTATTTACCAATAGTGGCATTAGAGGCAACTGTAAACATTAAGATACAGTCATTTTTTATTATTAAAAAAAATATAAAAATTTGCCAAGAGAATTTGAAATTCCTTTTATAATTTAACTAAAAGGACAGTCAAATATATAAAATTTGACTTAGATTGGGATTTTCGAGGTAGACTTTAGTTTCATTTTTTATTCAATCACAAAAGAAAAATTGATTTAAATTTTTAGTACTTCAAAATTTCAAGGGAAACATTGGTTCGTAGAGCAGAAATAACAGCCATCTTGTAAGATTTAAAAAATAATAAAATCTTGAATACTAAACTCTTTTTTAAAAAAAAGTAGAGCTTTAGAAAAGGAAAATTAGTCGACAACCAACACTTGACATGCAGAGCATTCATAACCAAGGCAAGGAAACGTGAACGATGGTGCAAATTAAATTCATGCATTTCGTTACATGCCAAACAACAAGACTTACTTGACTCTGAATGTTGATCGATTATTTCATAAATTGATTTTCCTTCGCCCGCTTTGTTGACTGCCCGGAGTTTTATAATATACGAGCTAGCCGGTTCCAGGTTCTCGATAACATAATGACGGCTGTCCGAACTAAGTTTTTTCATTTCAACGTCGGGGATGTTTGGACCATAGCCGAGTATATACCCACTCACTTTTATGCTTTTGTCTAATGGGGGTGACCACCACACCGCGATACTGTTGGGATATTTGTAGCAGGTTATTGAACTCGGTTCAGGTGGAACACGAGATTCTAGTGCAGAGAGTAAGATACCAGAGAAGTAAGGAAAAAAGAAAGCATTAATTTTGATGGTAAAGCAGATAACAGATTAGTTTATAGTTTTACTTACCGAAGATGACCAATGAAATGGAGGTGCAATATTAATTTACATACATATACCATATTAATAAATCAAAAGAATTATCATCATTATTATTTATTATGTATCAACAACTATTACTAGTATTATTAAAACTGACATGTTAAAACCATATACTATAAAATTTCTAATTGAAGTCCTGGGTCACAATTTGCTTGATTTTTATAGTGTGTGGGTATAGCATGGGTTAATCATAGAGTACACCACAGTACTCGGTCAAGCATGAATTTAGTGTTACAAAGTAATAACTCATCTCCTCTCATAGGTCTAATCATTCACATCAATATTGGTAGTATCCAGTACATGAACTTGAAATAAAGCAATTTTAAAATCATTCAAATTTATTATATACCAGAGGTAAAGAAAAAATGTTAATTTTGTTACAATTTTCCTCATTTTCAATAAAGCACTGCGTTATTATAACAGATAAACTTTCATTACTATTGCAGCATGGGTTACTTAGAAAGAGAGTTCTGGGTTTCAATTAGAAAAATTAAAGTATATTCTGAATGAATACATATATTCCCTCCAAATATTATGAAACAAAATAGATAAGAAATCTATACTGAATATTAAACAAAGACAATATATACATATATAATATATACTTTTAGAACAAAGGAATATTCAAATATAGTGGCAAATACACTACAAATTTTAGATTTAATTATGTATAAAATTTAATTTATATACATAGTAAAATACATAAATTTGTATATTCAATCATTATTAATATTCCACCATATAAAAATATAGAAATAAATTAATAGGGGTTTCTATATAGCAATCATGAATAAAAAGTAGGCCTATAAGTGTAAAATTCTTGATGATTAGCTAGGATTATCTACCTGTAAAGGAAGCTTGGATGGGGCACATAGTGTATGGCTACTTAGAACAGGTGGCTATGTCTTAAGTGGAAGGGGGATTATGGCAGCAACACTTCACTGTGTAAAGCAGCAGTCTGTGTTGTGCCATCAGACTTACAAATAATTCTCTTAATAATTAATTGGCTTAAAATGTATACTCAATCCTGTGATACAGCCTCATTTGCATACAGGCCATGGCATAGTGGAGCTCATATTTGGGATGATGTATCAAAGTAGATATAATTATCTGTATGCAATTTATAATTTATCGCACAATTGTCAACCCGTGATGTGGCTACAACATTTATTACTAATGTCCACTCACCATCTGGTGCGTCAGTCACCAAACTGACCGGCAATGTCCTACCCGTCACCCAATTGGAATAGGGGCCACTACCATTGTTATTCTCAGCCAGAAGTTTTATTTCATATTCCGTATCTGGATCCAAGTCTATGTTAACAAAACACGCAAAAAAAAAAAGAACAATCATTGCATTCAATTATAAGTGATAAGTGTGATCCCATTGTATTATGACTCACTGTGTATTCGGAGGTTCAGATCATGCAATGGACAGTGGTAACCTGAAACAGCCTAGCCTTTACATGATTGCATTATTTCATTAAAACAATTTTTAGCATTGAAATGTGCAGGTTCCTATCTGCACTTAAGTGTTTACAAATTTGTTAAACTTACCACCGAGACGGTGTTGAGAAACTACAGTAACCGACACTGTGTTTGCCCCTCCTGAATTCTGAGTTTTGCGGTACCGTAGACGATATCCGGTGATTTCGCCATTGGTAGTTTCTGGTGGTGGGGGCACCCAATAGACCATCAGCTCACTCGGAGAAATTGCTTCACTGTGACTAATAGCTTCGATTGTGATTCCAGAGGGCGCTTCACTTGGCACTATAATTTGTTAAAATTATGAAATGGATAAACAGATTACTGTGTATCATATAAACCAATAAAAAAAACCCATAAATTTATCCTGTTAACTACAGAGGCAAATATATTCTTGTTTAATTTTCACATAAAAGCTAAATATATTAAAGGAATTTAAACTTGATATAAAATCAAAGGGATAGAAGTGTTTTAAACAGTTGATGAATAGTACTGTAATTAATTTAGTTGATGAATTTATTTACCATCATCAGCAACATGTTTTCATTCCTCATCTATTAATTTGAAGGTTACAACAAAGATATTTCATTTTGAACCCTTGAGGGCACACTTCCCTTAAAGGCACTCATCTTTCATTACATGGCTATTTATCACTTTACGTCACAATAACAATTACTCAACAAAAAAATTCATTGTTGATCCGAAGAATTTAAATTTCTTATAAACAATAAGTTCTGAATCTCTCACAGTCAATGAGTGTCTCTTGTCAAGGATATTGAATAAATAAATTATTATGCTCCGCTTCAAGTCAATTACCATTCTGAAAATTAGTCAAAGTTGTGAATGTAGCAATAATCACTTAAACCATGTTGACCTTTTTATTTATAAGCACAAGTAATTTAAAGTGACCAAATTCAGATGACGCAAAAGAAATAGTGCTCGTCTTTCAATTTTAATGTCCAGGTCCAAAGCTTCAAATCATTAACTTAATAATCTTCATTCATTCAAAAACCTAGAATGCAAAAAAATGAAGTTCACTACCTACCATCAGAGTAGGTGCGGCGTGTCACTTCAGCTGAAGGCAACCCTTCCCCGTGTACATTCATGGCACCAATGTAAAACGTGTAATTCGTATTAGGCCTCAATCCTAAGATATCATAGGTAAGATCTTGTACATTGGTTGTTTCCCGTACGTTCGGTGGTTCCTGGTTATCTGTGGTACGGAAGTAGATCTTGTACTTGTTCACAGTATTGGCTCCGACCTCCGAGCTGGTCCATGTTAGCCGGGCGCTTGTTGAGGACAGAATATAGACGGCCAAATTCATTGGTTCAGAGGGAGGTAGTACTAAATAAATCACATGTATTGATAATAAGATAAATATTTAAATGAACACAATAATACGCAATGCTTTTAAAAGGAAGTACAACAATAAATATTCTGGAGGCTATGAATGAGATTAAAGGTTTTTAGTTGTGGAATATATCTGAAACAAAGTTGATACTACTTGTAACTCCAAAAAAACATATTGCAACTCAAAAAAACAAGAACTAGAAGGCAGATTACAATGAAATCTGATCATATACATAGACCCTATGAAAAGCAAAGAAACAATGTTATTTTCATTAATAAATTATGAGCGGCACAAAACTATTTTCAGACCAGGAGCTTATGATCACTGGAACTTATGAACGGTAAGCCTTACTTGGACCTATGTAGTGTCCTCTGTCGGTGGGCAAAACAAAATGGCACGTCTACATTAATTATCATGACGGCTGAATAGCAGAATGGAATTCTTTTATTAATTTGTTTATCATAAAAATATAATGGCAGGTTGGTTAATTAGCAAATTAACTTGGTTCTGGTTTTAACATTTTTTTTTTCAAACCAGGCTGACACAATTACTCAATGTTATTCATACCATAAAGAATTTCCTTAATGCTTATTCTTTAATGCTAGCTGGTAGTACTACAGACAAAACTCACTGACTGTACAAATAAATTTTCAAGAAACAAAATATCTGTTATGTACATGTCCATATCAATTAAAACTGTAGCCACCTTTCGTCATGTCGCTACAGCATGAAAGAAACTAATGAGGTACATTATTCTTTTCTCGTCATAGAAAGAGTAGCTAGTTTGTGGAATTCATAAACCAATAGATCCTTGGATTTATAAACCAATAGATATTTGCATTTAGATGCAAGAATCAGTGCAACTCCACTCTTATGAGAATGTTCATCACGAGCTTATATAAGGCAATGGTAAAAAATCACAATCATTAATTGCCCACCATTTCTATGCAAAAGGGTATAATAATGATTAATGAGAAAATTAACTTAAAATTCCTTCAAGCTCTCAATCAAACTAATTATAATTAGGTCACTTACATTCTTGCTGTGTTTTGACAGTTGCCGTTGTTGTGCATTCTCCACGCCCATGGCTATTCCATGCGCACACGGAGTACTCGTAGAGTGTGTCTGGAATGAGGTCTTTGATTGTGGCAGAAGTTAATGCAGGAGCTGTTGTATTGATGATTCTAGGTCTACTTGGGAAAATAAGATAAATTTTACATGCAATGAAGCATTATTTGGAATACGCGATATAAAAAAAACACAGAACTTCCAATTCTGTTCTTTATCAAGTTTAAAGGCAAGTTATATTTATTGACATCTCATCGTTACAGCATTTTGTAACAATAACACCCGCATGGGGAAAAAGTTTAATATATACCATAAGAACAGGTCTCCCTCTAATTAAGACCCCTCCAATTAAAGACTACTTTCCTGTGGTACCAAACTAACAAATGTCTTTTATCTTTATTATTTTAATTAAAGCTGCTAAAGACCATGGAATTCTCAGAATATTATCATCATCTTTAAAATAATTTAACATGGAACATGCCTGTCTTTTCCGGGTTCGCCAATCCTGACTGTATACGTCAAAATGTTTCCATTTGGGTTTCGTGGTGACCTCCATCCAAGTGAAATCTCACGTGTGGATACCAATGTCTCTACAACCGATTCGGGAACGCTGGGTACCGGAGCGCCCGGGGCTGCTGTAGGTCCTGCATTTTGGGGCGAAGTAGTTGGAACATTCACTCTTGCAGTAGTGGAAATAAATGGCAGAGGGATGGACGGAATTGGTACACCTAGTTCATGCAGGGGTAAGGGAAAAACAAGAAAAAAAAAGAAAACAAAAACAAAATCACAACATGCAAAGCAACTGGTTCATGCAAACATGCATATGAAATACCTGTCTCTTATACACATC